CAGGTTGATGCCAGAGGACAGCCATTAACCATGGACCCAGGACATCACAAAACCCCTCATTCCTCTCCCACAAAAAAACCCTATCAGCCCCAGAGGGGCTCCCTGTAGGGGAGTTACCCCCGGGAGGATAAGCCAAGGCTTCACACCCTGCCTCGCCCCAGTGGGGAGCGGGTAGAGGCTCCCAGCACTGAGCCAGCCTGGCCAAAACAGGGCAGGAAGGCTGGGCCAGGAGCTTTGGGCAGCTCAGTTGTTAAGTTCAGTAAGGATGACCCGCAGTTCATTAGTGAGAACACGGTTTTTCTCGGCCTCCTGCTGAGAGCGCTCTAGAGAAAATGGAGACATCAACGCAGCACAGGAAAGAGAGAGAAAAAAGTAAGTTAGTGAACAGAGACAGCATTTCCCAAAGCCCTTTCTGGAAAAACCACAGCTGTGAAGTCAGCAGCAGGGACCGGCTGGACTGGCCAAAGGAGGCAGCCCATCCTGGCACAGGGACAGGGCTGTAGGTCCATCAGTTTGGTTCTGGAACAAGGTAGGGTGCTGAGGAAGGAGGAGGAGGATCAGGAACCAATTAGGGATCACTACAGATCACTGCTGAAGGGTAGCGCCAGCCCCTCCACTGAGCAAAGGTGATGCAGGAGACATGACAGAGCTGAGATTGCTGCTTGCAGGCAATGTCTGGGAGAGGTGACAGGGAATGGACAGTACCAGGTCTAACCCTGCTATTTCATGCCAAAAGAGTAATGGAGAAGATGGCATGAGATGAGGAAAGCTGTGTACGAGAGCCAGAGGGTGGCTGGCATCAGCACAAAGGGCACTGTCCTGCTCAGCCAGGCAGCACAGGAGCCTCTCAGGCCTCAGCCCCAATCACTGCAGAGGTCCTGTGGCTGTGAGCTGCCTGCAACCACCTCCTACCATGCTGCTGACAGTACTTGCGTGAGACAGGCAGGAGATGAGGGATTGAGTGGCATGAAGAAAACAAAGGAGAAACCAACGGTAAAACTTTATTGAGACAAACTCATTACTCCAGAAAGACAGAACATAAAAGTCATGAGATGCAAAGTGAAGAGCAATGTGCAAAGGACAGAAGGGAGGAAGGAACCAAGGAAGGAGCTTGGGCTTGCCTACCTGCCTGGGAAAGAGGTGTCTGTCTGCACAGTCAGACCCAACCCTCTATCCCCCAGGCCTGAGCTTTGGCAGTGGAGGTGCCGCTTCCCCAATGCAGGTCATCCCCATCCTGGGGCCAGCAAGCAGCACCAGGGGACTTTTCTGAGGGCATGTTAGGTGGAAGGTGTACCCCCACCCCCGGAGCTGAAGGGTCCCCAGTGCTTCTGCTACTGGGGAGTCAAGGAGGGGAGCTGCTGAAGCAAAAGGCTTCCAGACACAGCCCTGACTCTCACTGGGCACAGACCTGAAACTACACAGGTACTGTCCAACCAGTACATAGGGCTCAACGGGACTGTTCTTCTGCCCTGCCCGAACAGCTCTAGGCACCTACATCTTGTCTCCCCAAAGAGGGGTACAGCGGGAACACCCCAGGCCGGCTCCTGTCCCAAAGGAGCCGACAGACAGGCACAGGCTATGAAGAAGAGAGGGCAGCGAGGGAGGTGGGATGGCCAGGCAGGCAAGTAACTGAGCTGGGGAGAGAAGAGGCAAGGCAGGGTGGGGGGGGTGCAGTGCTGGTGCCCGGTGGTGGGCTCAGAGGGAGGTGATGTCGTTAAGTGCATTGTCCAGCTCCTCGCTAATGGCTTTGTACTTCATCTTCTGCGCATACACTTCATCTGCAGGTGGGGGCAGGCAGGGGGAAGATGGTGGAGCAGAGCAGGG